GCCGAATAGACGAAATTACTCGCAAATTAATATTTGTCACGTGTTTCTCAAAAGCCACGTGTCTCTCAGAAGCCACGTGTTTCTCAGCTGTTCGAACCTTGGTTTTTGACCTAGGTTTCGGTTAGAGTCTCCGCTAAGTCAGCTGTTCGAATATCGGTTTTTAAAAGTGGTTATCGGACCATGGACATGGACACCGAGGTAGATGCCAGCGACGCTAGCCTAGCTAGTGTTGGCGCGAGCTCGACGTCGAGCGTTCCCGCCCGCAGGAAACGCAGGCCGAAGTCTTCGGCAGACAAAAAGGGAGCCAAAAATATCGGCCTTGGAGTCGGGATGACGGGAGAGCCGCCGCTCCCAGCGGTAAGATCGCCGCCGTCATAGCCTTTTGAGCCCTATAGCAACAACGCCAGAACATCGTAGAATAGAAGGGCAATGCGGGCAATGGGTTATGAAGGGTATGAAGAGCCCTGGGTAGGGTGCTGGGTGCAGTGCAAGCATATTGTGTGTGTGTGTGTTTCCTCGTCTGCTTCTCCCACAGTCAAATCTATCATTTCCAACTGCACCGTTTGCACTTCAAAAATAAATGTATTTGTTGCTGTTGCTGCTGTTGTAGTTGTTGATGATGGCTGCTGCTGGATTAATACTATTTTTCGTATATTTATTGCACTTTTAGTTTTTTGATTTGATTTAATTGAATTTACCGACCTAACATCGGCTATCGAATATGAAATATCGATTACACGCTTATCGATACCCAAAGTACTGATAATTGACTATATTTCTGAATAACAGGCGGTATATTTTTACTGATAATTGCGTTCTTAGCTATACTGCTGAGGGTCCGGCGGTATATTTTATTTATAAATACGCGGTCACACTGAAATTCCTTAGGCGGCATTTTTTTTTAATATAACTGCGTTCGGTGGTATATTTCTTAGGGTCCGCCGGTATATTTTATTTATAAATACAGGGTCGCACTGAAAGTACTCGGGCGGTATTTTTTTGATCATAATTGCGTTCGTCGGTAGATTTCTGACGGTCCGCCGGTATGTATCTTTTTTTAAATACGCGGTCGCACTGAAAGTACTCTTTTGAAATCCGGCAGTGATGTACCAACCACAACCACTCTGACTCGTGACGGTGAGTCTCTGAGGAAGAGTGGCTGATCAGTCATCTAATTAGTATTAGACCCTCACAGAGGGTCAACTGAGCGGGTTGGTGCATTGAGGTCGGCCCCCTAGTGGGAGTATCGTGGTGGCTGTGGTAGCCCATATGTTACGCGGGCAGAGCCGTTAAGTTCGACGTCTAGTTGCGTTTCTCAACCGGGTGCCGTGACCCATAGATCGGAAGAGGTGATAGATACACCTTCGCTCCTCACCAAGGGGGAAAGTATGCCCGACTAGTATACTTTCGAATTGGTCCCGGGCAGAGTCGCTATGTATTTGCTATAGCTTCTTATCCTGGGAAACTCAACACCGTGGTTGAAATCCCTTCCTGAGGAACCGCCACGTTAAATAAGGGCTGAGAGATCAGAAAACATATGTACCTATCTACTCGTTGCTCTCTGACTGCTACTGGAAGCAGACGTGTTTTTAATGGTTCCCCCTTACCGTCGGGTTTTCAGTGCGAAAGAATGTGTTTTCCCTTGTTTAATTAGTTGCCGAATAGACGAAATTACTCGCAAATTAATATTTGTCACGTGTTTCTCAAAAGCCACGTGTCTCTCAGAAGCCACGTGTTTCTCAGCTGTTCGAACCTTGGTTTTTGACCTAGGTTTCGGTTAGAGTCTCCGCTAAGTCAGCTGTTCGAATATCGGTTTTTAAAAGTGGTTATCGGACCATGGACATGGACACCGAGG